GAAATTTTCAGCATGAATTTAGTGTGAACGTGTGGATTGGTATCTACCCTAGTCGACTATTTGGACCCTACCTTTTGCCTGCAAGGTTAAATGCTGCGACCTTCTTGGAATTTTTGAAGGTTGAACATGCAAATATGTGGGATGATGTTATGTTAGATTCAAGAAGATTGGCCTGGTTCCAGCTTGATGGTTGTCCAGCTCATTATTCTAGAATAGTTAGAAACTGGCTGGACGAAAATTATCCAGAACGATGGATCGGCCGTGGAGGACCAGTCGCCTGGCCTCCACGATCCCCTGACCTAAATCCATTAGATTTCGTTGTGTGGGGATTTCTAAAAGAAAAAGTGTACCAGACTCCCGTAACCACAAGAGATATGCTAATAGACAGAATCAGGAATGCATGTGATGAAATAAGGCCTTATTTGAATAATGCTATACCACGTTCGATCATTCGTAGATATGAATTGTGTATTGAACAATTGGGTTTACATTTCGAGAAACTACTTTAGATTTTGTATGTTTGTCCTAACTATCAAATAGCATTTTAGTTGTAAATAATTAATTTAATTTGTTAAAAATAATATTGGAAAATTAAACTAATATTCTGTTTTTTTGTGTTTATTTGGAGTTAGGAATTATTGCTGTGTTTAAAAACACAATCTAAACGATCATCTTAATTACTTGTAATGCCCAAACCGGAAATGTAAAAAAAATTATTTTCCCATAAATAATTAAAAATGCATCGAACCTTGAAAATCGAAGTATCTCAAAAACGGCTAACTATAACGAAAACTCACAGGAGAGCTTTTTTATGTTGAAAAGAGCGAAGAATCAGGTTTTTTATTCAAAAAGCAAAAAATCGTACTAAGAAAAATGTGTCGGTCATTTTAATACACTACAGGTACAGTAGAGAGCGCTCTCTAGCGGCTACAGTAAAACTATGCCCATGGTTCGTTTTTTCGTACCAGAAAACCCTTGCATACCAATTTTCACTGTTATACATCAAATATTGTTCGAAATATTTAACAAAAAACTATTTTATAAAGTATTTCGCAAGCCACGCATTTTTCGACCCATGTTTATATAGACTTTATGCATTAATTTTAAAAGTTCTATCGAATCTTAAAGTTATGCAACAATAAACTGAAACACCCTCTATAGCGTAGCAGAATGAACGGAATTTATGTGGCGGGATCTTGGAATTGGTCACTGATAGGTGGGCGACTACTGTACGCACAGGGCTTAAGTTGTAATATCTAAGGTGGGATTACTGTAGTAAGTGAAGTTTGCTGTTCTGGGTGCGACTAGATGAAGGTTACCGGCACTTGGTGGATTGAGACATCGTCCTTACATCAATGGGTTCTTAAAGTTAACATCTGAAGAAAATGTAACCTTGTCCAATGGAGGAGAGTTTCCAGGCATACGTAGGCTCAGCGAATAGGCAGGAAGAAGAGAAGGAAAAAGGGGGAAAAGTGAAAAGGATGTGGCCGAAAAGTTCCGAGAAACATCCACGACCAGTCTCCTGTATCGCCGTAGAATGAAAGGATATTAATCGTTTTAACTTTTCTCTGGTTAATTCCACAAAATTGCGTGCTACTCTACCAAGTTACGAAGAACATGTGAAGTTTCTCGAATTTCGGCCAACGAAACTCAACATCAAATTGGACGGAAGGGCACTAGACATTTGGATCAAGAATGTCATAATGAAGCAACAGTGAGATTAGTGACGAACGAAAGAAAAACATTTCCCAGATGGTAAACCATAGAGGAATTCTTCAGAGAAGACCAAACACGCACTCTCTCTCTCTCACTCGTCAGGGTAGTTTTCTAAATTCGTCTTTGTGTTCTACTACCATCTCATAGATGACGCAGTATCTTACTGATATCTGTTCAAACGCCAGAGTACAGTATATAGTTGGATATCTACAGGTAGAATATTAGTCAGTGATAAAACTCACACGCTTGGTAATTAATCCGTCCATACATCTAGCAATACCAGTTTAACCCAAGCAGTTACCTCTGTCACTTGTTTACATTTTTTTATTATTGCCAGTCTTTCCTCCACTCTCAGGATATTCATTTCTTCGTCCTACTTTTCTCTTTCATTCTCTTGATCCTCGCCAGACTTCGTTACTATTCCTGCTTCAACGCCCGACTTCTTGTTTCTCCTTTTAGCTTGTTATGCCCTCCTTCCTAATGGCCTCTTTGCGTCATCTGTTTTATCTTCCCAATCGTTTGTCCCCTATCTTCATCAGTTCTTCTCTTCTCAATTATATGCTTCATGTTATCTTCTAATTGCCCTCTTCTTGCCAGCTCATTCAATGATTGGTTCATGTCCTCCGGCAAGTTAGACTCACCCCTCCCAGTGCTTGACTGTTTCCTCTTCCGTCATTCATCTGGGTAAGGGGTGGTCCGGAGAAGAGACGAAATCCTTGCAATGTCTTCTTGTTACTATACCAGTTTCTCCTTGTCATCCAAGGACTTCTCTTTATCACAGGTAGAGCCTTTTGTTGATAGATTCAGGTTCAGTTGGGTTACAGGTCACCTGAATGCTTCTCCGCTAGCCTACACTGTTACTTGTTATCTGTTGACCCGTCTCTGGTCATAAATTCTTCATATACCCAAATACGCTGATAGAAAAACCCGGAGGAATGCCTAACTTCTCATGCTGTCTTCATTTTGTGTAGTAACAATACACTTTTATATTGTTTTCTACTGCGTAGTATTTTGGAGCGTACACGTGCAATAAAACAAGTTTTTGAATGCACACATTTTCGATAACATAATATGTTCCGAGGTCATTCACATTGTTAAAAGTGTCATGAAAAAGTTAATTCCGCTTTTAGAGATAAGACTAATGGACGATGACGAGAATTCTGCACTTTTTCTCCAGAAAATAACTCGATGAGCGACCATTCTATTAGTGTTTAGAAATACAGTTCCCGAAAGATAATAGAGTCACACACACTTTTCAGTTATTCTACACTCTCGTCTTCAGAAATTTACCACCGGTAATACAGTTCTACGAAAAATAAGAGAACAACGCCCACTTTCTGATAATTATTTTACTTTGTTGATAACAAAGGTAACAAACATTAGCCTAAGATGGACTAACTTAAGGAAATATGTTTGGATACTAGGTGTTACTTTCCGCAGGTCATTTGTCGGATACACATATATTTATTAAGTATCAAGTTTTTGGGTATGTACGCCTTTGCAATGACCCAACTGGATCGTATTTGTAAGCTACAAATCTCTCTACACGGTACTAATAGGACCAGTTTCTTTCTATTAACGTTTGAGGCGAAAATATAACAGAGATTTTCTATCCAGTATATTAGGGCTCAGAAAATATAAAGAATAACAACCCATACGAACGATTTATCTCCGCTTTTACTTCTCACGCTACTTATGAAAAATTTCGAAAATGAGATATTCTGTTTTTCGGGAGTTATATTGACATATACGAAAAAATGTAATTCATTTCCGTCGGACTGTATGTCTGTCGGTCTGTCCGTTAACTTTGGAATCATCTATAACTTGGGAAATACTGCTCGGATTGGGATGTAATTTGCACACAAGGGTATTACTATGCCAAAAATAAAAAAGATTTGTAGTTTTGTTTCAGTGGCGGAGAAGCTAGGGGCAAAAACAGGAAAAAAAATAAAAATCGCTCAAGCTCCGTATTTTGACTTTTTAAAGGCTTATGGTCATTACCAGAAACATTTTTGTAGAAGTTGACAATCACAGGTTGTATGAATATATCTCCATCAAAGATTTCCCCGTAAATTTTCAGGCCGGTCGAGACGACGGGATGCATCGGCGACTTTCATACGCCGAACCCTGCCTTGCACCTCTCAGCATGCCGGCAGGGGTGTTATAGTAGCGTGGTTGGCGCTTACGACTGGTATGGTCCAGCAGAGTTGACAGATGGTCGATACTTGGGGCACTTGACTTGACCCATTAAATTTTTTTGTTCTGTTTATTCTAAATAGATTAACTTGCGCCGAATATAATCCTTTATGAACTAATTGCATGGAAAGTGCAGAGTCAACCTACTTGACGCATTTTTTTGTTGAAGTTGTAACTTGGAGACTGAAGATTGTAGGGGGACGAGGGTTGTAAACGTTGCATGTTTAGTATCAGTGAAAGATGTTTTACTATTCATCTATGATCTCGGTAGCATTACCCACCTGTTAAGTACAATGTTACACATAATTCGCATAATTCTTACGACAGTTAGTCCAGTTGATTTGGAGCAGGTACTATTGTCATGCGGAAGGTCCGATCCGAAATCAATAACGCAGACGTACGAAAGTTGTCCAGATTTTAGGCACCGTGTAGTCAGAGCTGATTATTTCAAAAGAACTTTATTAGTTCATTTATATTTATTGTATAATGTCAGCAGCTATAACAGCTTCCATGACTGGCCAATAGAAAAGATACCAGAACGTACGAAATTTAACTAAAATTCTATACATGGTGTATATATAGTTCAAGGTTCATTATTTTAATCTTTGCAGTTTTTCACTGATACTGTGTCACGTGCCAAAATCACGTAACTTTTTTTTTCTAGTTATCACTTATCAGTAATTTGAATTTCTCCTCATTGATAATAGAGTGCCCATTCCTGCGCCAAACCCCTTTTCAATGATTTTCTTTTTGCAAATTTAACCCTAGGCCAGTCGCGCGGGTGACAATCGTCACCCACTTTCATTTAATATGCCACTATTTAAATGTTTCAGCTCACTTGGCAACATCGCTCCGAGTATCTTTCATGTAATGATAGATGTCTGTGCCGTCAAATATTTAGTACGGCTTGTGCGTGTTTAGTGGAGATATCGCTGACCAAAGCTGAGTGGTTGACAAGTGTCCCCCGCGCGACCTTCTACGTTGTTAAATTATTATTAAGGTGTTGTTGTACTGTGGCAATTTTTAATATTTTTTCTCCCTATGCTAAGGTATTTTTGCTTTACGTATTTGGAAGTAGTAGCAAGGCCATGTCTGAACAGAAAAAAAGAAAAGTAGAGACCAGTAATGATCCCAATGTATGGCTGAAGTGGTACCATGAACTAAGTGATGAAAGTGATCTGAGTGAAAGCTCTAAGGATGAAGATGAAAGTGACAAAGAGGAAGAAAATATACTGACAGAGAGTGAGCATAATACAGAATCGGAACAAGAGGCTTCGGAAAGTGAAGAAGTTGAAAGTGACGAAGACGTGCCTTTAGATTCTTCTAGTTTCTACATTGGGAAGGACAAAATAACGAAATGGAGCAAAGCGAATCCTCCAAGAAATGTGAAAACAAGGTCCCATAACATTATTATTCATTTACCAGGACCCAAAGGTAAAGCACGAGAAGTGAAAACAGAAGTAGCAGCTTTAGAACTCTTTTTAGACGACAATATTCTCAAAACAATTACAGCGTGCACTAATATTTATATAGAGAAAACACGCCAAGAATTTACAAGGGACAGAGATGCAAGGAGTACTGATGAGATAGAAATAAGGGCATTTATTGGATTGTTGTTCCTTATAGGCACCATGAGATGTTCTCGTAAAAATATTCATTTTCTATGGGATAACTCCAAGGGAAATGGCATTGAATCATGTTATCTTACTATGAGTGAACAAAGGTTCCGTTTCCTTTTGAGATGTTTGAGATTTGACAACATCAATGACCGTAACATGCGTAAAGAACTTGATAAAATGGCAGCAATTAGGGAAGTGTTTGAACTATTCACCAATAATTTTGAGAAATATTTCTCACCGAGTGAATATCTAACTATAGACGAGCAATTGCTTGCGTTTAGAGGTCGTGCAGCTTTCGGCCAGTACATCCCCAATAAGCCAAGTAAATATGGCATTAAAACATTTGCTTTGGTTGATGCTAAACCCTTAACTGGTAACGTGCAAATTTGGAACACAACTGGTAACGTGCAGTCTGTGAGACTGGCACCTTTTCAAATCAAAAATAAATAAATGAACCTTATAATTTTTTAAAAATATATATGAAGGTATGTTAGTTGCATATTCTCAGTAATAATTTTACATAAAATATCCGGGAAAATTAACGTGAAAAAAAAATTAAATAATAATTATCAACTTGAAAAAAAAATTGGTAGTGTAATTTCCAAGGGAGCATGATAATGGAAAAAATGATAAATGAAAGCAATGTTATATATTTTACTATTAGTGATAAATGAAACAATACATCAATGAAACAAAACGTTAAGAAATTTTGCATTTCAAAGGTCCCAGCAGGTCCTAAATCTAAGGCTTATTCGCACAACTGTTGCATTTGGGATGTGAACACTGCAGGCATACTGGTTTCCTACACTCCAAGCACAGATATTTTGTCATTCGATGTGTGGTCTTATGACACAAATAACAGGCTTTTCGCTTTTGCAACATCAAATTTCCCTGTCTTTCGGGTAAATTTTCCGTTCTGTCGGGTAAATTTTCTTCTGGTCTGCCGAGGATACGTGATATGGTGTAGCGTAACTCGCGAGGCAAACGAGGATTCTGTAGTCGTCTTTCCATGTCTCCTTGGACAAGTTTGATAGCTAGTTCTTTCGCAAATACAGATTTGTCTTTCATCACTTTATTGTTTTTGTAACACTGATGTAAGATGTATGAATTCACTACCGAGACGTCAATAATACGGTAAAAAACAGCTAAAGGCCATCTACGTGTACGACGACTAGAACTACTTTTTGCACATTTCTCATCAAGAGAATCCACCCCTCCTTTGTTGGCATTATAGTATGCAATTATTTCAGGTTTCATTGTCTCTGGATCAGTAAAAGTCCTATCATGCATTGTGGAGATAAGTATGGTAGCCTTGTTTTTCTTTCCTACATGGGAAATTATAGTTGAGTCTTCAGGAAAGCCGTACAGAGTTGATCCAAGTTCCCTTGCCTTGTTCGGTAAAAAACAAGGTGGAATTTACTTTTTATTTTTTTTCAACGTTCCAACGTATGTGAGCTTCTTTTTCAGTAATATGTCTGTCAGCTCCACCGATGAAAACCAGTTGTCTCCCGTGACGTTGCGGTTGCTCCCAAATAAAGGCTGTGCAAGACGTAAAACGGCTTGAGTTGGCTTAGAATAATTCCTGAATTCAGGGTCAAGTCCAATCCCATCGGAATCTTTTCCTGCGTATATATACGCATTGTAAAGGTAGGCATTTCTAGCATCTGTTAAAGCCATTATTTTTATCCCATATTTGGAAGGCTTGTTTGGCATATACATTTTGAATCTAGCTCTGCCACGAAAGCTCACAAGCATTTCGTCAACGGTGGTCGACTGGCCAATTCCATAGACATTTTGGCTATTCTCTATGAAACTGTTGAAAATAAAAGAAATTGCTGCTACAGGGTCCTGCTTTTTCCTTTCGTTCCTGTCCTCTGGATTGTCAAACCTCACTGCAGACAGAAGTGTAGCAAATCGTTTTTCGCTCATCACTGCCCTGAAGATGTCTCTTCCACTTCCATCTGTCGCAAAAATAGTTTTGATATTCTCATGGTTTGAATTGAAAACAGATGTGAATATCAAAAGTCCAAAAAAAGCTCTCAACTCAATCTCGTCAACGTCTTTCAATGTGGTCGAATCCACTTTATACTTTGTTCGCATTGAACTTATTTTATGATTTGTCCATTTCACAATATGTTGTAACATTTCTTCGGTAAATAACAGTTGCCACACAGAAATAGGATCTGCTTCTTCTCCGAGCTGTCGAGCTTTTCCTTTGATAACAGGAACTTTCGTTACAATATTATGTTTCCTGGTACGAGATATTGGTCGAACTTCCGTTGTACACCATCTATGACGGTTTCTTCCAAATAAATACTTTCTCTCATCCACACTTTGTTGTTCTGTAACTTCGTCATTCTCGTCACTACTTTGAGATAACTCACTTCTACTATCATGATCGGAAATTTCAAATTCCTCGTCTGAGGTATTGTCCAAGTCACTAGATTCACTATATACTGCGTCATCTTCTTCATACCAACGCTGAAGAGTCTCCTCAAAATCCTTATCACCGTAACATACACGTTTTGACGGGCCTGCCATGGCTACAAGTTGCAAGAAATTCTTACACAAACCGTAACGTGCCGTCTCACAGACTGCGCTGAAGTAACAAAGATGGTTTTCCCGAATTTACCACTGTTCATGCGGTAGACGGGGCACCAATAGGAGAACGATTAGATAAGGTCATTGACCGCAGCGCAGGTACAGTTTTGTTCCAACATTGAAAAAAAAATTGCTTGCAGTCTCACAGACGGCACGTTACCAGTTAAGGGTAAAACAGCTTATACTATGAAACTGGAAACGTATGTTGGATTGCAACCTCCAGGTCCATATCAGCAAAGTAACAATGCCAAAGATATTGTGATGAGGATGGTGGAACCAGTTCAGGGTACAAATAGAAACATCACAGGAGATAACTGGTTCACTAGTATTCCATTAGTCAATGAACTGCTGACTGAAAAGAAATTAACATACGTAGGTACTCTCAGAAAAAATAAAAGCGAAATTCCTAAGGAGTTTCTTCCCCAAAAAGACCGGGATAAATTTACTTCAATTTTTGGATTCCAGGAAAACTGTACAATTGTTTCTTACTGTCCACAAAAGAATAAAGCAGTTCTAGTAGTTTCTACCATGCATCACGATAGTGCAATCAGTGAAGACACAGGAGAATATCAAAAGCCGGATATTATAACATTTTACAACAGTACCAAGATTGGAGTAGATTTAGTAGACCAAATATGCCAAAAAAATAATGTAGCAAGAAATACGAGACGTTGGCCGTATTTTATAATTTATTAAATGTTTCCGCTGTAAATGCTATGATAATTTATAAGCTCAACAAACAAATCGAGGGAAAATTACGCCGAACTGAATTCTTGCAAAGCTTAGCATGGAATATGTTGACACCACAAATAAGACGAAGAGCTTACATTTCACAAATTCCACGGGAACTTCGCCGCAGGTCAATGGTATTGCTGGGTTTGGAACCCTCAACTTCTGTAGTTGAACAAAGAGATCGAAGAGGATCAAGAGGGCGCTGTTACTACTGCGGAAGAGCACGAGATAAAACAACTAGAAAACTTTGCGCGCAGTGTCAAAATTTTGCTTGCAATGACCACCTAAAAGAAATTTGTGTGCGATGTTATGAAAACAACGACTGAAGTAGTAATTCACAGTTATCTTATGTTTTAAATATATTTTGTTGTTAAAATCAACCTACATTTTATGTCAAGGCTTATAGAGAATATCTTGTTCTTCCTCAAAGCGCCCATTCATAGACTAGCACCCTTTTCGTTTTGTTGTCTGACTTAAGTTTAGTTATTTTGGGTGCTACGTCTTCCATTTTTTATGGGATTTTGATCCTCAGCGGTAAGTTCTTTTTTTATATACCTGCGGACCGCGTGCCTTAATGCGTGTCCTGATGACGTTCATTCAATATCTGCTTTCTTTTTGTCAATAGAAACAGAAGAAAACCCTCGTCTTTTCTCCCCCAGTCAGTTGCATCGTTGTAGTTTTGCAAATTGGAAGCCATCCCCTTGAAAAAACCCTGATGTGAACAGGTAAAATATCATTCTAGTTAACAATTTCATGAATCCTTATACATTTATTATTGCTTATTGAAATTCTTAGAGACTTCTTGATTTTATTAGAAATTCTACGTATTCAAATATGGGCAATGCCTACATGGCACCTTCTATTACATTGATCGTGATTTTGATTTTTGAGCTGCCATAACTTTTGAGAACAAGGGTATATTAGTTTAGTACGTTTTTATCTTTTTTTGCCTTTGCCTTACTTTTCTTATACGAAAAAATGTACATGGTTTCGCCTTAAGTGCGATTGTTTGCAGTGGGTAGTTTTATCTCAGACAGAGAGTAGAGTAGATTTTTAAACAGTCTTTCTCTCTCTAGGGTTTTTTTCCTGTTACCATCATAATTTTTGGGACCGAGGCAAGCAGCCCCTGCCCAGTGACGTGCCCACCTCTGGCTTCCTTTTTTTTTGTTCTTTTTGACCTGGGATACATCTCAACTGCGTAACTGGGAGAAGACCTCCGCCCAGATAAGAGTAGTTTAGGCGTAAACCATATATGTAAAGCGTATACCATGGTAAACGCCGACTAATTTTATTTTGCGACAGTTTTTTTTGGTAATATCTCGCACTCCAGTGGCGTTTTGTGCTTTTTAATCAATATATTGTGATCCATTTGATATCTTGTTTATTTGGCTCTCTCTGTGTGTACTGAAACTTAAATTTCGTCATCTCTGTTAGATTCTCCTTTTGTGTGGTGGTCAAGCAAAAGTTCCGACTAACATCTCGGGGAGTTGTGGCTTAATCCGTCCTAAGTCACTGGCGCTCTTAACCCCTACTCTCCGCTTTACTGAGCTAGGGCCTAAACTTGCACGCCACTAGACGACTGTTTTGCTTGGACCAACCGTTAGATAGCATTTATCATTGTGTTTTAATTAACCAAAAAAAAGACGTGGCAACTGCTCTCCGGCTTAATGCCAAGCTACAATCATTTTCATATCCGTCAAATAAGAAAGACACCAGATCATGCAAAATTCGACTTAGACACTATACATACTGCATATTCAAGGTCTGTTTGTCTAGAATTTGGTGGGAAGTACGGGGTACATCGATTTGTGATTTTTTCGCCTACCATTTTAGGGTCCAGCAAATATAAAAGATGAGAACTTAGATGAACGATTTCCCTTCGCTTTTTTGTACTCAAACAGTCAAAGGTGATATGAAAGTGTTTGCAGCATAAGGGTACAAAGACGAAGCGGAACAACATAGCAGCAGTGCACTTCTACCATTAATGAAGAAATTCCGCTGAGAGTCGATGCATCAAAGGCATTCATCATCATGCTTCCGATAAATTACAAACGACACCCGAGCTGCAGATGTTTTTTTCTGTTTTCTCGCGCTTTTCCCCTCGTTCGCAGCGCGGATTCAACGCATAATGTGGCGGCAGACACGTGGATCACATTGCTTCACGGAGTACTATTGACTGCAGTTCCTTCGATGTGGTCAACTAGTAAAATGTGGGCACAGTTCTATCATTTATTGACGACTTGGCTTCTTTAACATAGGTAAAGGAGTCGCTTTCAGTAAATTTTTCTTGAACAATAGTTCCTTTATACCGGACCAGCCTCGTAGACAGAAGCCTAAATTCTCGAGCATATTGTTCATCCGATTCTCAAACTGCCTCGGGTTATCAGAACTGGAAAAGGCCATCTCAGGCCGATTGTTCCATAATCTCGACACCGGTCATACTGGCTAGCTCTAGATCTACAAGGGTGGACACGGCTAGGATTAGCGGCTAGGTGGGTCTGTATGGCAAGCTCATCCCGCGGCGGCATCATGGAATCATTGAGGAAGAACAAATCCCGTTGACACAGTGTTAGGAGAGATCCAGATCCCCAAAGGCCCATCGCTGCGATAAAGTCAAAAGACTGTCCGTTAGAGACGAGTCATCGATCAGACGGATAGCAATCATCTGAACAGCATCGAGCATGGCATAGAAGGAGCAGCAGCACCCTAAACATGTGATCAGCACTCTTGCTAGGTCTTATCGTTGTACAGAGTGACAAGGTTATGTGCAGAAAAGAACTTTCTAGTCTCAAACAAATAGTCAAGCTTTTACACACAGATCAAGTTCTCGACAGTACGGACTCCGATTATCCGAAATAAACGGCTCTTTGGTATCACTAGGTCATCTATCGAAACTGGATGTGCGCTAGGGCGCTTCTTCTAAACTGTGCCAGATTGTTGCTTACTCAAGCAGTGATCAAGCGTCAGATCAGAGAGGAAGTCCTGTCTTTTTCTCTCCAGCTCAGCGGCAGAGACTGACGTAGCAATCAGAGTTCCTTCATGTTGAGTGTACTTATCTGCAAAGCTGTTAATAGGATTGACCATATACGAAGGAAGGTCGTTGATATGTAATACAAAGCCAAGACCGATCCCTGTGGCCAAACATAAAGTCAGCCACTCACTCCCAAAGCTTCTCTGGGAAGCCATGGGATGGGGATTTGCGTTAAGTGGGCAGTATGCCACAGCTGCCCGAAAGCTTTCTTCATATTAACAGCAACGACATGATCATCACCATGACTGGATGAGTTTCCTACGCAGTTGTGTGATTTAAGCTAGGAGGTCTCCCGTTGATCGCTGGTACCGGAAACCATACTGCATGTCACTAATCAAGCCGAGGTGTTCAAGATGCTCCAGAAGCTCCCGATTTATATACCTTTCCACCATCTTACTTATAACAAATAACATAGCTATTAGTCTCTAGTTGTCGAGGTCGGGATGTTCTTTTTTTGGAATGGGCTGGACATAAGAACATTTCCAGTTTTGCCCATCTATCTCATTTGTGAAGGTAAAGGACATTGCCTGAAACACTAAATTATAGTTATTTTATCTATTTCTAACTAATATCGAAACATTAGAATAAAATGCGAATATTACCTAGTTTCTGACACCACGCCATCCCTAACCTTAGAATACGTGCATTGGCAAAATAAAACTGAAACAGCTTCAACGTTGCCAAATATTTTTTACCGAGAATCTTACGGCGTATATTAGAACGTCCAGTCCACTGCACAGCGAGCCGGAAATCGTGCTAGGTCGTCGTCAACCCTTACAAAAATATTATGAAAAATGGGCAGTGGGTTGCACGTGTGGGCTAAAGAGGTTAAAACTTCCTTAGATAATCTTAAACGCTCTCAGTCAGAAGATCATGAACTAGAGTTAGTTTTTCCATGGCTTCTGACTAAACTCTAAGGGATCACCTATTAAACATTTTTAAGGTCAAAAGATCCATAGGTCAAACTCGGACAAATATAACGTATGGATAGAGTTTTTAATAAATATTTGCTAAATTTGTTTTGAAAAGCTTTATTGAATGTAATTGCTAATTTGTAGCTTCACCAAGTTCTTTGGTGTAAAGCTGATGCACTCCACTAAGTACGTTGTATTCATTTTGAGTCGCATAAGCTTAAGAGTTTGCAAATTGTAAAGTCCATTCTCATTTCAGTGACGTTCCTAAAATTTCATGAGAAGAAATCTGTTAAAAAAATAGACCCAATGATGACTGGTTTTGTGGTTGTGAAAAAAGTTAGTAGCTAATCAAATAAATAGACCATTTCTATTCTTGAAAACCTTAATTAGAAGAAAACCCAATTAATAAGGTGTCACAAATAAAATGTAGCCAGATCAATTAATTAACATATATGGTATTTCTTTATTTACCAGGAAGTCCCAACAAAACAAATAGCTGTCGACGAACCCGCTTCAGCCAGAAGTAGCGATAAACACAGTGGTACAGGGTCGGACTGTGATTTAACCGTTGTTCACTACGCTGACCTGTATATCGTTTAGGATTAAAGTGCTTAATTACATTATAGATCCAAGAAGTTCTGTATATGGATAAATATTTCGAGAAGCAAGGCCTTTATCTTCAGCAAAAACCTGCCAGCTCCCCTAGTCCTATAATCCAGAAATTACTGCTCGGTTCATAATACAACTTTCACACAAAGCTACTGTTTTGCTGCAGGAAAAAGTACAGGAGGAAAATTTTAGAGCTTCAACAAACTTAATTTTTTGAATAATTAATTCAACAACTAAAAAAAGGGGAAGATTTCTTTGATGTATTTCTACTTCCCGGTTACATAGGGAGTTAGAAGAAATACAGGCTATAAAAAAATAGGAAACCAGGCATGTCTTTTGTGGTTGCATATATCGCTAACAACGCTTAGAATTTCGGTGAAGCTAAGATATCAGGTAACCAGATAAGTTCGTGCGGTTTTTAGTAGAAGAATACAAATGTTTATTAAGAAACAATAAGACTATTTATTCGTCGAATTAATTACCATCACATTCACTGACCTTTTGCCAACATGGAACCAAATTTTGGAATGCCGGTATTGTAGAACTCCTGGATTTGGAGTCAAACAATTGGCGGACTGCATTTATCACACCATCTCGAGTGCCTCATACAGTTGTCAAGAGACAAGAAAAAGGTGATAATCACTGGGCGAAATGTCTGGAGAATATGGCGGGTGGGGTAACGTTTCCCAGCCGAGTTCTGAAACTTTTTCTCGGGTCACCTTTGCGGTATGAGCCTTATCGTTATGCTGCCAGAATATCACTTTCTTCCGAGTGATCAAAGAAGGCTGTCTCTGGATGAGTGCTTGTACTCGTTGAAGCTGCTCATAATACAAGTTAGCCGTGATGGTTTGACACTTTTCCAAAAACTCATAACGGACAATTCCAGTTGCTGTCCGCCAAACACACAACAAAATCTTGTTTGGGTGCAAAGAAGCTTTGGGCGTGTGTGGTACCGAACCAGTAGGCGACAACCAACGCTCAGAATTCGAATACAAGATCCATTTTTCGTTGCAGGTTAATAACCGATTAAGAAATGGTTCATTAGCATTGCGTGCAATGTTTGCTGAACAAATTGTAAGAGGACTTAATTTGTTATCATTTGTCAGTTCATGTGGGCCCCATTTGCCTATCTCGCACGTCTTTCCTAGCTGATGAAGATGCAAACGAATAGTTTCAGTACTCACTCTGAACATTTCTGCAAGTTCTTGGCACGTTGTCCTGGAATTTGCGTCCACAACCTGTCGAAGATCCTCGTTGTTCATGATTTTTGTTCTCCCTGAGCGCGAACATTTTTTGAACCACTTCTGTGCTGTTCGATCACTAACGGCATCATCTCCGAATAATAATAATAATAATAAAGTTTATTGCAAAAGAAAAAGTATAGCAGTAGTAGATGAAAGACAATATTATACAATAAACGAATGGACCCAAAAAAAGTTTCGCAGAAACTTGTGCTTGGGTATGAGCTCATGTATAAATAACTTAAGACTAAAAAAAAAAACAAAAAATATATGTATATAAAATTCATTAGACAAGTCCTGGTAAAATTTTTAAAAAGACACAATCGGGACGGAGACGCAAAATCGGGACGTAGACGCAATCGGGATAGAGACAATATTGAAACAAAAGGCAATATTAGGTGAATAGACAAGAACAAAAGTTGGTAAAAATAAGTCATAAAATGCAATAATTCAGGGGGTAAGAATTCAAATCAGTTTGATTTATACATTTCTTTTTCATTTTGAACTTTCAAATATCTAGAGAGATTTCCGCTTTCAGTAGTAGTAGATATTTTTGATATCAATCGCTTGATAAATCTTGAGCCTGTGCTGGTCCAAAATCCACAGTCGTAGATGCCTTTTCATAACCTTTGTATTTTTAATATCTTTTATCTGAGGGGGGATGAAGTTATATATTTTTGGTCCTAGGAAAGTGAAACTCCTCTGACCTATGGTCTTTTTAGGCTTTGGTATGCGTACTGAATGATCTTTGGATCTGGTGTGATGGTCATGTGGGAGGAAATTTAATAAATGCTTATGCTTTGTAATATATGTGAACACACTCTCAAAATAGAGTTGCCTACAATCACATATCTTGGATACCTTATATATCATATCGGTTGGATAGGTGTTAGTTTTGCGGAACATGATTTTAAGAATCCATTTCTGAGTTATTTCTAGTTTCCTGTAGTATTTATTCAACACCGGTCCCCATGCCAAAATTCCATAAGTTAACAACGGTTGTACTAACGTTTTGCATATGGTGCATAAGTCTTTATCAGAATGTGGCACATATTTTTCGCGCCGCCGCTGCAGCTTTTGTACCAAGTTTGTACTCATACAGTAAACAACTTCGAATTACTGTTTTATTCGTCGCCACTTTCAATTATTAAAACTAGGTATGTAACAATTTTCAGCAACTTTTTATGTGTGTGAGAAAATACAGCAACCGCTCGAACTTATTTGGTTACCTGATATCTCTGAGCCGCAATTGATCAATTTGAGGGTAAAGAGGTTTTAATATTTCGATTCTCATAACAGTAATGTATGGGAAAAGTATACATATAGTATAGATACAAATTTGTGGGGGGAACTGAGGCAACCTCTTTGGTTATACCTTTTTTTATTCGTCGATTCGCAGAATTAGGTGGCTATAAGCAAATAAATTGATTGCGTCATCAAAAACACATAGTAATCATTCGTGGAGTTATTGACGCTTGTGACTATGCCTAAATAAGGTATCAGAGAGTTTTTGTGAAATTGTTAATATTTAACATTGGCACAGTTCAAACCGAATAACGATAGCTTAGACAGTGCACATCTCAATATATGTTACACTATAGCCTTGCTGATGTATTGTGCCTCATGCATTCAACAACTTACGCCCGTCGATAGTAACTTCATCATTTTGCTTAATTATTCCCTTATTTCCAACAAGCAATTTCTGACCACCAGAGACTATACAGGGTGGCCCATCCATATGTGGGCGGAATATTACTCATAAACAAATACATTTTTGGAAAATATATTTATGGCATATTATTCATGACGTTTAAGGGCACATTTCTAAAATATTGGAAATTATACAGGGTGTCCCACTTTTGACCTACATATCAAAGTTTTGATTTTCTAAATGGAATGCCTCAAATATTATTGCATATTTGGATAAACCAATTCAAACGAAGAAGATTGGTATGACATACTATGGGGTTTTGGTAATTAGCTACTGAGATGTAAGGTGTTTTGTCCAGAAAAACCGTCCACTTCGGCAACCCCTCAATCCGCCATTTTGAAATCTGGAATGCTGAATTTTATATCAAAAAAAACTTATAGACCTCAGCTTTTATCTTATTTGTTACTTTTTTGAATTATCATTTTTGCTCATGCAGGGTGGTAAAAAAAGCGAATTGTACTTTTTCTCAAAAATTTCAATTGCATCACCGTGTATATTTGGCAAGTTTGGGTTCAATTTTTTATAAGCTTTTTTTTTGGTATAAGGTTTGATTCAGATAAAATCTCTGGATTTTAAGTTATTAAGCTTTTGATAGAACTACACACCAAAATTAGGGAAAAAAATCACATCATCCATGGAAACAAAAGACAAACAGTGGGCTAGTTCCATATTACCACTAAGAGTACAAATTTGACCTAAAAGCTAATAACAATCAGAACAGTATAAATCAGCTTCAAGCGTATTAGAGAAAAACAACATAAACAAACAACTATCACTAAAGACCTAATCTACAAAAACTGCTCGAAAATATCTCCATCATGGTGAATACACAGTCTTTGGATAAATGACCGTCGCACATCCCTCAGCATGTGTTCCCTTATGTTCAGAAAAGCATCCTTAATCTTTCCTTCATATTTTCCGGGGTAGATGGTGGATATTATTATTATTATTATGTCTTTATTGAGTATTGTTATATACAATACAGAAATCTGCAACAGGGCGAAGTCTAGCCTAAGCTACTCTACTTAACCCTAAATAAAAGCTAATAATGAAGAAAGCCACAGATAATACATAAAATGCAATCATCAGAAGTGATCAAATACAAAATAGCATAGAAAATATGAGATAATTTGAATGAAAATAAACAAAAGCCTAAGACACAAAACCGCAAAGCGAAGAGTATATAATCAAAAACTATTGAACTATCCATTACATTGACTATTGTAATAAAATTGCCTTACCAGGACTTTAAACATCGGTACAGAACTAAACTTAAGCGCGTCATCGATATTATTGTATATAGTAACAGCATTATATGAAAAAGATTTTCTAAATAAAGATAAACGAAACTTAGGAAGAGAAAGTTTATTAGTGAACCTCGTATTTAGATCATGCAAATCACGCCTAAAGACTAATTTTCTTTTCAGGTAAGCAGGGCTCTGTGATGATAAAATACGGTGAACTAAAATAGAAGTATAATATTTATGAGTATATTCCAGTTTTAACCATTTTAACTCATTTATTTTAACTGAGATTCGATCAAACTTTTTGAACCTAAAAACAAATCTACAACAGCAATTTTGTACCTTTTGAAGTCTGTATTTCAAAATAGACGTTAAGAAGGGATAATAAAGCGTGATTGCATGATTTAAAATAGGTAATACTAGGCTCTCTGAGAGCTTTTTACGTAATTTAAAATTTAAAATACCACCATTTCGATACAGTAGCCTTAAAACTAGGTAAGTCTTTTTCACTAATAGTGAGACGTACTCTTCAAATCTGAGCTTACAGTCGAAAATAACACCAAGATTCTTTGCACTATTAACTACTGAGACTGATTTTCCATTTAATGTTAAGTCGATATGCTGCATACAAATTTCATAACATGGCGGAGAGAAGATAACAACTTGACATTTATCTGGATTGAGGTTTAAGTTGTGATTAAATGAATATTTTTGGATATTTTCTAAATCTTGATTAATATAAGCAGATGCGGTATTTATAAATCTAGGATCGAACGACAGGTATAATTGTGTGTCATCAGCATAACCTTGTATCTTGCAATAAGTGATAGTTTTAAAAATATCAGATGTATATATAATAAATAGCAAAGGTCCTAATATGGAGCCTTGAGGGACTCCAGAAGTCAGAGGCTGGAAGTCAGAATACGAGCTATTATCAACCACAACACATTGGTAACGGCCCTGAAGGTAAGATTTGAAAAGTCGGCAGCCCAATTGATTTATACCATAATATCGTAACTTTGCAAGAAGTAAGCAGTGATCAATCGTATCAAACGCCTTCGAAAAATCAAGAAATACAAGAGCTGTAGCAAGGCCAGCGTCGAGAGATCTAATAATATCATCTGATACATTTAAAAGGAGCGAAGTTGTGCTATAGCCCCTTCTGAATCCAGACTGTGATTCAGGTATAATTTGGTTAGAAATCACAAATTCGTATAACTGTAAATAGATCACCTTCTCCAGCACTTTAGACAGAGCAGGCAGTATACTAATTGGTCTTAAGTCATTATATACAGACGGTATGCTTATTTTGGGCAAAGGTTTTATAAGAGCATATTTCCATAAACTAGGATAATAACCAACCTCTATGCAGCAATTTATAATATGAGTTATGTGTGAGGCAGTTACAGAAATAGAGTATTATAGCATTTTTGCACTAATTTCGTCCACACCATATGCGCTAGACGTTAGATCAAGAACCAGTTTTTTTACTTCATCCACATTAGCAAAACTAATAGAAAAAGAAATATTAGAAAATTTGGCTGAATTATAAAATGCAGTAGCTTCAGGACAGCTATTTGATGGACTAAAGACTGAAAGAAAATGACTATTAATTTCAAAAGGTTCTTTTAGCTGTAGAGGTATATCTGTATTATGTTTTCTTTTGATATTGAGGCGATTGACTGCTTGCCAGAGATCCCTATAGTTACGACAGTTTAGTGTTGATGACAAAAATACAGCTTTTTCATGTCTCAAAGCAGAGCACACAGAATTGCGTAATTCTTTATATATAGCAAAGTCCGACAGTTTACCGGATTTTTTATACTTTTGCAAAGCTTGATCCCTTTTTTTCATCATAGCTTTGAGGTTAGGGGTAACCCACGGAGCAAAAGGTTTTGTTATGCGAGAGGTTCTAACAGGGGCATGTCTGTCAAAAAGATCGACTATTAGATTATTAAACAGCGCTACTTTATCATCGAGATTATTTATATAGAAAATATCATTCCAAGGTAAATTTACTAAGTCTGAATTGAAAGCATCATACGAAAATTTTCTGTAATCTCTGTATTTTAATATGAACGGCTTAGGACGTGATGTTCGGTGTGAGAGCTCACAGTAGATTGCTTTGTGATCAGATATGCCAAAACTATCAATAACACCCGAGTTTACAACTCTTTCATTTGCACTGGTAAAAATTAAGTCAATTATCGTTTGTGATAAGGCAGTTATTCTAGTTGGCTCTGTAATGAGTTGATGGAAATCATATGAAATAAAGCAATGATTGACTTCGTTATCAAACGATTGATCGACGTTGAAATCTCCAAGAACTATAATGTGATCAAACAGGGAGTAATAAAGGAAAGGACATTGTCCAGATAATCCAAAAAATCATTATTGCTTACTGATGGGGGCCTATAAATTACACCAATAATCAATACCTCACCATGCGTTTTTATAGACAACCAGATGTGCTCAATTCCCAGAAAACCATCAAAATCTTGAAGTATTTGCTTGCAAGCCATAGAGTTTTTAAAATAGATCCCAACTCCTCCACCCCTGGTAGAGCGATCATTTCTAAGTAAAGAGAATCCTGGAATACCAACTGCTCCACTAGAGATATCACTGTTCAACCAAGTTTCAGAAACGCACATAACATCAAAGTCAAAATCCAATACTAGATGAACAAAACAATCAAAATGAGTGAAAATAGATCTGCAATTCAAGTGGCCAATTTTTATGTTTTTATTGTTCATATTGAATTCTATCCTTAACGGCGCTCTCACAGTCAAGCAGAGTTTCTGAGGGGAATCGGGGGGGTGATAGGGAAACGCTAGTAGGACGGCGTTGTGACAAGGCAAGCGCTCTACGTTAGAAAAGGATAGTAATACGCAGAGGTGTGCTGTTCGCGTGCCTGGTTGAATTTGCATATTGCACAGAGTCGGATTTGATTTGGATATACGATCTAGCGTACGACTGTTTCCCTATTTTGGCGCATAGTATACTCAGCCCTTATTACTTTTATTACCGTTATTGTATTGTTGTATTATCGTGTTGTTATTGTTGTGTTGTTATTGTTGTGCTGTTATTGTTGAGTGTCTTTCTTATCAAGGTATCAAAAATGAACAATAAGAGAAATAAACGTGGCGTCTCGAAGAAGCCGCATTTAAATACGCACAGGAAAAAAAAACGTTTTCCAGATAGAAAAGTAGGTACCAAAACAATTATGAATTTTAGCATTCATTTTGCCAATAAATTAGACTATACGTAGTTACTATTATAACTATATTTTATATGTTATTTTAGCTTAAAAATGACAGCAAGGTTTCGCATATGCATTCTCTAACAGAGACAGATGGCATGGTTCTTCAAATTCAGGTGTGTATACCCTTTTTTTTTTAGATTTGCACCAGAGGCTGATATCATTTCTGGCAATTCTGATTAAAAATGCAGTAAGTTTACTTCATGACGTCGATAATAGTATTGTAGAGCAGTTTAACTCAATCATAGCTAAATTCATTGGGGGTAAACGGATTAATTATTGCAAGAAGAGATCCTACCAAGGAAGATGTGCTGCAGCCGTAGTGAGCCACAATACACAGCGACCTGTTTGTGTGATCCAAAAGCGGCTACTCCCTAGTTTCAGTCCAACCTCTTTGATTGCTAAAGTTGAAGAAAGGAGAGCGCACAAAAATCTGAAAAGGAAGCTGAAACCAAGGAAAATTAAAATCAGAGATAGTGATACTAAAGAGAACGCATCCTATGGGGAATTCTGTGAGAAGCCTGACATTAGCAACGAAGATATAGAGGCTGCCAAGGTAGAATTCTTGAAAAAACTTGCAAAAACCGACTCCAAAATTTCCCAGATCGAGCAAGCCACAAAATCTCAGGATTGCAATTTGTGGCGTCTTCGTCGAAGAATGAGGTTGACTGCGTCTCGGTTTGGTGAGGTTTGTAGAAGAAGAGATACAACAAGTTGCAGAGCTCTAGTAAACGCCATAATATACCCAACCGAATTCTTTAGCAATGCATGTGACTATGGAAAAAAGCATGAAAGCGTGGCAAAATCAGAAATAGAGAAATCATATTCGCAATCAGAAGTACAATCTTGCGGGTTGTTTATTGATAGGACCCATCCATTTCTGGCAGCATCGCCAGATGGTTTGATAGGCGTAAAAGGTCTGCTAGAAATTAAATGTCCATGGTCGGCTAGAGAAATGACCCCTGAAGAGGGCATTCTGAACAAAAAAATTACGTTTTGGATAAACGATGAAATAAATAAAAAACATAAGTGGTATTACCAAATTCAAGGGCAGCTACACGTTGCACAAAGAGAGTACTGTGTGCTTGGTGTTTGGACCCCGTATGGTTTGAAAATAGACGTCATTCGAAAGGATGACGTTTTCGGGAAAAATGAAATGGAAGAGAAATTGAAATTCTTCTACATGAACTGCTTGCTCCCAGAACTGGTCGATCCCAGAAAAAGCAGAAATATGCCAATCCGCGATCCCGATGTGATCTTGAAGGCACAAGAGAACCGTTTGAACAAGAAAAAGAGTTCTTGAGAATTGGCTATTTTTGCTGTACTCGGGTACCAAAATGGAAGAGATTAGCATATTACATTGTACTCCGTTACTAACCCCTTCGTGTCGGCAAATGCGGTGTGCAGATCTCGCTTTAGCAGCGATGTGCGAGATGTTATGCTAATCTCTTCCATTTTGGTACTAGTACCAGATGTTCACTATTTATTGTATATTATGTATATATTGTTTATTTAAATAAAAGTCAATCGTCAGGCTCAATAGCACGTAGCATCGGCTAGCTTTATCTAGTCTGTTAGATGGCGAATATTGAAATGTCACATTGACACGTTAAGCGCCACAGTAGAATCTGAAAATCCAGTCCACTGGGCCAAACTGTTATTATTGTCAAATTAGCTTGTTTTAAGTTTCGGTTTAATATTTTGACTTGACTTTTTTCTCAAATCCTATGATTTTTCCCCTTTTTTGATTTTTTTTTCTGAGGTACTAATTATATGTCGCGTGGCCCACAGACCAGTCGGGTCGCGTGGCACATAAGTCGCGTCGCGTTTTTTGCAAGTCAAGACTTGCATCATGTCGCGCGTTGAGCACTGTTTCGTGTCATTTATTATTGAAGCGTTGTTGGTATTGTACGTCATCTTGTCCAAATTGCTTTACTGTTTATAAATTATTGAATACCAAATTTGTGATGTCGCATTACGAAGCGGAGCAAAAAAGGCTTGAACAATTGTGTAATGAAATACTATCGGATGAAGAGAGTGGCAGTACTGAGTTATGTGGGGATGTATACTTATCTGATGCGTATTCTCCAAGTGGTAGTGAATCAGATAGTAGTTGTAGTAATTCCATATTTATCTGTATTACTGTTTATTTATACCGGTATTTTGTTTATTCCTGCATAAGACTTTGTCAATCTGTTTAGTTTATAAGAGTTCCTCCATATTTGTGTTCGTTAGAATATCGACATTTACCATAACTTACTGATTTGCTGTGAAATTACTTTGTTCATTTTTGAATGAGAATGTCTGATTATTTTATAAGATTTGCTTTTTGTTTTAGATTTGTAGAATATCCTCTTTTTGTAAAACTCTATAAACAACGTGTTTTTTAATGTTTTCATTTCCAATTCAGTATAATTTGGTCCCTCAGGCCACGGACTCTTGGTTCCCGTAAGAAAATCACATCAGCATGGCACACGTCTTACGTTACGCGGCCAAATATAACTGCCAGCAGTGAGACATATCATGTGTGTCACGAGGCCCAAAGCGCCAAATGAGCTGCGACACACGCATTATATCTCATGACGTGTTAAGTTTATTTTACGATACTCCATAAGGTTAAAGCTAAACAGCAAGTGACATTTTATTTGTCTTAAATGCGTTCACTATAATTATTATTTTTAACTAAAAAGATTACCGCCTCCAATGACCCTGGAACCACCTGGAAACTTTTGGTCACAAAGTTCTGTATTTTACCACACATGTCAAGTCTTTTCATTTGATATGTATATTGGGGGTTTTGTACAAAAATATGTAACTCGCAATTTCGAAACGGCGGCAATCTTGGAATCAAATTTTTAGTGAAGTACTGTATTCTACAAGGCGACGACTCTTATTTGAGATATTAGCAAGTATGTTATCCGCCATTTTGTAACGGCCGCCATCTTGATTTGAAACTGTTTTCGTATTACTGTTTTGTACAAGTGCTTCCATTTGATATCCATATTGGGGTGATTGAACAAAAATGATTTTTTGTGGTATCACCTCTGAAGCATGGCCTATTGTATAAAAAGAAATGATCAAAATCGATTAAAATTTTCCCCTCTTTCATTGAAGTCTATTAAAAATATCACTTAATGGTCCGATGTTTATCTCGAACGACCGACGTTAAAACTGCTACTGTTTAACTTGGGACAACAAATTATCTGAATACGTCCTTTCTTAGTCCGTACACACCGCCGCGTTGCTTCGACTGGCAGCACGAGATAGTGGATAAAATTCGTGTAAAAGCCTATTTGCAGAGGTTTTCGCGCTTCAAAATTGACGCTTCATTTTTGAATATTTTTCAATGAAATTTTCACAGTGCACTAAAAACAAGACTCCACAGGGTGCTATAGAGCCACTTTTTCGTTTTTTCCTCTGGGTTATTTTTAAAAAAATCGAGAAGTCGAACAACAATTATCTGCACTTCCACCCACCATAACTCCTGAAAAAAAATTTTTTTTAGAAAAGTGGCTCTATAGCACCCTGGACAATTGTCTTCTTAACATACTGTATAAATTTTATTCAAATATATAGAAAAATGGAGCGTCAATTCCGAAGCAGCTAAACCCTTGTAAATGGCCTGAAACTCACTGCGTCGGAGCCGCCTTAAGTTGTCCTAATTTGTTAAGGTAGCACAAACATTGAGTGCTATTAGCTGAATGGTCAGTAGGAAAATTTGTTTTAAACTTATTGTTGGAAGTCTTACAGTTAATACAACAGAGATCAGAAGAAATGCAGTCGCGCTTTTCATGATTTCCTGAACATTGAGGACAAATCGTAGCTGAACTCTTGCAATCTTTTTTATAATGCCCATAGTTATAGCACTTGAAACATTTTGCAACATTAAAATGCTCCTTTACATTACATCTTTTCCAACCTATATATAAAAATCCTTTGCCCATAACATTTTTAAAAATAGAAGGAGTAACTTCAAGGACAACATTGATACCGTCCTTAAATTTAAAATTAGTAACCACACGAATATCAGCTTCCGTAGCATCTAATTCATTATCTGCGATGATAATTTCAGAAAGGCGGGCATCCTCGGCAGCTGATTTATCAACACTGTAGACTACAATCTTCGGACGAAGTTTTTTCGGCTCATAAACATTAAATGCATTTCCAGCTTGCCTCTTGAGACCATCTTTCAAATTTTGAAGCGACTTGACATCAGCACAGTTGACTAGCACGCCATCCCTAATGAGTCTAGTACCAGTAACATTCGCATTTAGTTGACTCGGCCTGAATTTAGACTTCAGCTCCTGCTCCAATTTTGCGTTCCCCATGTTTATGTCAGTGGGTTTAATAACTAGCACAGCTGATGGCGAGACTTTTTTTGCTGCTTGCGAGTATGTGTTTACCAACGACGAGTTCGGAAAAAAACCAACAGCCGAATTCAGTGTAGAGGAAACAGCAGGCGTTTTAGATTTCAAAATAGTATTAGAAAATTCTAGTTCACTCACATACTTTTCTAGCAATTGCTTTTCTCGTGTAAGGCAATCAATTTCTTTATGCAGCACATCGGTACTGCTACTAGACACCTTGCCGTCTCCCAAACAATGTTTACAACGGAATTCTTCCTTTTTCATTGGCACAATCTTGGCAATTGAATCGAAACATTTTCCATGTAGAAGAATATCACATGCACTATTAGTACACTTAACTTCACTTAGCGAACAAAATTTAGCACAGAATTTGCATTTATTGTCAGGAGGTTTTGCCGGATCGACCGGCTGGCTCGACATCTTGTTGGTAGTTCTAGTATCTATAAACCTCTTGCTTCACGTAGGCCCATAGAAATAAGTGCATCGGTGTCATATCTGGTGATCTAGGAGATCAAGATATAGGCCCATCACGACCGATCCAACGATTGTTTCTCCAGGTATCTAAACACGAATATGATAATGCGCAGGTGCGCCGTCATGTTGGAAGTACATATGCATCCGAGTTTGCAGGTTGACATCCTCCAAAAGCAAAGGCAAGTGCTCGATCAAAAAATTCAAGTATTCTGTACCTGTTAATTTGTTATTAAATGGGGATTTTCCTGCAACTTGAATAGAACCTCCAACTGATTCGCCTCATTGATGACACTTGGATTATTTATACATTTTTTAATATATTCCACTGCTCCACTTGATTCAAAACGTTCTCGTAGTGTGGAAAATGTTTCCAGCCTTGGATGTCGCATATTAGGGTACCGTTGCTTATAAATGCGGGATGCTAGGAAACTATTTCTTTGGGCTTAGCCCATAACGAACGCCATATTCAGCATGTCTCTTTAGAAAAATTAATTTTTGAACATGTTTTTATTATAATGCTCACAAAGCTAATTTTGATAGTTTGTAACTAATCAACAATTTATTTGTTCCCAAGGATGGTGCGATATTTTAGGGAATTAAGCCGTTCCATAAAAGACGTGCTAATAACCGAAAAAATAGGCGTTAAAACCCTTTGTGTCTAGTTTCAAAGAGCTTATAAGAATTTGAATCCAAATCTGCACAAATATACAGGGTGATGCTTTTGAAATTTTTGAGAAAAACTACAGTTTGCGTTTTTGACCACCCTGTATGAGTAAAAATTGAAATTCGAAAAAGTAGTAAGTAAGATAAAAGCTGAGGTGTGTAAGTTTTTTTTGATACAAAATTAAACACTCCAAATTTCGAAATGGCGGACGGAGGGATTGCCGAAGTGAGGGGTTTTTCTAGACAGAACACCTTATATCTCAGGAGCCAATTAAAAAAACTCCATAGTATTTTATATCAATTTTCTTCTTCTGAGTTGGTTTATCCAAATATGCAATAAAATTTGAGGCATTCTATTTGAAAAATCACAACTCTGATATCGAAATTGGGATACCCTGCATAATGGCTAATATTTTAAAAATGTGCCCTCAAATGTCATGTATAACATCCCATAAATAGATTTTCCCAAAATCTATTTGTTTATGTGTAATATTCTGTCCACAGATGCATGGACCACCCTGTATACAGTTATACAAATTATGTATAATATGATGTTGCTTTGCGACGAGTTGCTCTGATCTGGTCTGTTATATACAGGGTGTTCCATAATTATTGCGACAAAATGATAGGGGTTGTAGAGGGCATCAAAATGAACAATTTTGCCTTATAAACCCCTGTTCGGAAATATGCCGTTTGGGATGCAGCAAAAAAAAAAGATCAGTTTCTTGAAACAGCTTACCTACAGTAATTGCTCAAAGTGTCCTCCACCTTGCTCAATACACAGCTGTGCACGATTGTTCAATGATCGGCGAACTCTGTGGCATACCCCCGGTATGTCCTGAACATGTGCGGACGCGACCATCACTCTTCCCAGTAGGTCTTGTTGGTTGGGAACAGGAGTTTCGTACACTAAAGCTTTCAGATGGCCCCAGAGAAAATAATCCAGTGGGGTCAGGTCGGGTGACCGCGCAGGCCAAGGCACAGGGCCACCTCGGCCTATCCACCTATTTGTCGTCCAAATACTGCCGCACTTGTAAAGAAAAGTGGGCTGGAGCGCCACGTGTTGGCTCTTATGTTCAGTGGCACATTTTCTAATAGTTCCGGTAGCACATGCTGTAAGAATCGACCATAAGCATGCCCATCCAAACGTGGTGGAAGCAAATATGGCCGGATGATATGCTCGTCCACAATGCCGCACCAGATGTTAATTGAAAACTATGTTGGTCTCTATGGATGGCTATGGCATGGTTTTCTTCATCCCAAATGTGACTGTTACGGATATTAAAATAACCGTCCTTTGTGAAACAGGACTCGTCAGTGAACAAAACGTAGCGACCAAAGTTTGGTTGCCTCAACTCCTGCTGCAGCCACCAACGACAAAAACGTCGACGCGGCAGATAGTTTTCTGGACCCATGGCTTGGACTTTTAAAAGGTGGTATGGGTGTAGTTGCTGGTCATGGAGAACCCGCCAAGCAGTAGTTTGAGACGCTCCCATTTCATGTGCAATAGCACGCACGCTTGTACGCGGATTGGCCTCTAGTTTGACGCACCACTCAGATAAATTAAATGAATCGGTGTGGAGAATTTACGATAACAAAAATGTAAACACAGCAGGCTTTTTTTTACAAATCGGCGAGACCATGAAATGTGCTAGACGAACATTTTGCAGCTGTTGAATTTTTTGTTTCTCTTAAGGTAAAATTAGCGGTAGTGCTCAAACGGCATATTTCCGAACAGGGGTTTATAAGGCAAAATTGCATATTTTTATGCCCTCTACAACCCCTATCATTTTGTCGCAATAATTATGGAACACCCTGTATAACCGTTCGGGATTATCGAAAATTCCATGCTAGAAAGAAGAAAAGTCCTAACCTGAATGGAGTACGCGTAGATTTACCGCCGCTTGACGCTGTAAGTGGCGGTGCGCGCGGCCCACCCTAGCCGTTCGCTTATGTGTCCGAGGCTGAATATTGAAGGGAGGATTTTGCCTGAGTGTAGTTTCTGGGTCACCTATTCTGTGGTAACAAACACCTTACACGAAACCATATTTGAGTTTGATGATCACTCGTACAGTATTAATAACATTAATTTTGAAGTAGGAAGATTTAAACTAACGTATGACAAACGACGAAAATCCCGTATAGTTACAGTCTTGTTCGGTAGGCAAATAGCAAACCACCAGAGACGTCTTCGGGTAATGGTAAGAGACACGTGAAAGGCTCGTTAGAAGGAAACCGGAGTGCGAGAAGGAAGTGGATACCACATCTAGCGCACCTGCAAACGCCGCAATGAGATAAAAGTAAACACGGAAACTTGCTATAATTTCCATAATGCAGCCTCAGGACAAGAGAACAACGGAAAGTGCCGTGCCGCCAAATTGTATAAATCAATGTCGTGTTTCCGTGTATATGAATGTACATAGGCTTTCGCCATTTACGGCGGAAAGGCATTTTGTCCTCAGCCAAGTTCACGAGATGTGATGGAATAACTCTGTAGAGCTATAGATCGCATCTACTCGCCCACTGGTGATTGATGGGCCTGGATAGAGCTCAAGCATTGTTTCACGTTCTAGAGAAGCATACGGGCGTACGGGCTTTCTTTTATCGCTCTGCCGATGGACTTTGTTCCTCAATGCTTTCCCCCATGATGCCGCCTCACGATGTGCCTGCTAGAGAGACACACTTGACATCCTAGCCATGTCGAACTTCCAGAACTCGCCGATATGTCCACTTGTTTGCGCCTAAGTTGTCGAAATTGTGGAAAAATTCCCAGTTCTACAAACACTAACCTTGGATGGTTAAAAAATCGTATTAACAAAGTGACTTTAAGCTTCTCATAGCAGCCGCGGTGCTGCGGTATTTAGACCCTATTAAATTATTAGCTTCTTCAGGAGTCTGGATCAGGGACTATGAGCGGGATCTTCGGCCCAAAAAATAATTGACTGAAATTTCAAGTTTATCGTATATATCAGGTTATTTCATTTTAATACCTTAGACATAAGTATTTTGAGCTTCCAGAAATTTTCTTTTTATTTTGGTACTTTATTCTTTTTTAAAAGTCAAATGTTCACGATTTTGGTATTTTTGTCCAAAATGTACGTATATTTTAGAATATTTAACCTATGATTTTAATATAGGCATATGGTCGCAACACATACTTATACGCCAAAAATTATTAAAATCGGATAAACATACGTAGATAATAATAATAATAATAATAATAAGTTTATTGCAAAAGAAAAAGTATAGCAGTAGTAGATGAAAGACAATATTATACAATAAACGAATGGACCCAAAAAACTTTCGCAGAAACTTGTGCCTGGGCATGAGCTCATGTATAAATAACTCAAGACTAAAAAAAAACAAAACAAAAAAAATATATATACATATAAAATTTATTAGACAAGTCCTGGTAAAATTTTTAAAAAGACACAATCGGGACGGATACGCAAAATCGGGACGTAGACGCAATCGGGATAGAGACAATATTGAAACAAAAGACAATATTAGGTGATTAGACAAGAACAAAAATTGGTAAAAATAAGTCATAAAATGCAATAATTCAGGAGGTAAGAATTCAAATCAGTTTGATTTATACTTTTTTTTTTCATGTTGAAATTTCAATAATCTTGAGAGAGATTTCCGCTTTCAGTAAGTAGTAGATATTTTTGATATCCATCGCTTGATGAATCTTGAGCCTATGCTGATCCAAAATCCACAGTCTTAGAAGCTTTTCCATAACGTTTGTATTTTTAATATCTTTTATCTGAGGGGGGATTAAGTTATATATTTTTGGTCCTAGGAAAGTGAAACTTCTCTGGCCTATGGCCTTGTTAGGCTTTGGTATGCGTACTGAATGATCTTTGGATCTGGTGTGATGGTCATGTGGGAGGAAATTTAATAAATGCTTATGTTTTGTCATATATGTGAACACACTCTCAAAATAGAGTTGCCTACAATCATATATCTTGGATACCTTATATATCATATCGGTTGGATAGGTGTTAGTTTTGTGGAACATGATTTTAAGAATCCATTTCTGAGTTATTTCTAGTTTCCTGTAGTATTTATTCAACACCGGTCCCCAAGCCAAAATTCCATAAGTTAACATCGGTTGTACTAACGTT